ACGACGAGCCTCTGGGGTAGTCAGTCGTGTTAACGCATTCTTAAGAGGACTAAACAGGCGCGGAGGTTAAGAACCAGCCTAAGGTCATACGACCAGTACGCAGTAGAGCCAGGACTGCCCAAGGTAGACAGCTGGAGACCCCTGAAACCCATCACACCCAAAACCAAGCTCACACTCAACCCTTCCCTTTAAATGAACCTGACCCCGTCATGAAAGCCTGATTCACGAAATCCTGATTCTGCAGCCTTGTGCTCTTCCGCCCCACAGCTCGGGCCCCCGCAAGCCCCGTTCAGGCCCCGCCCTGTCTGAGGCCCCCAGCTACAGTCAACTCTTGTTTCCCTAACCTCTGGTGCCCCATCACCCTCACCATCCAGCCTCCACACGCAATCCCTCTGCTTACTTCCCCTCGAAGCAGAATAAAAATCTAGGAATGGGGACCCCGGGAAGGCCTCTGACAAGGCCCCACGTGATCTGGCCCTGGCCAGGCCACCCACGACCCCACCAACTTCCTCTTATCTTTCCTGAAACCTGCTCTTCTTCAGACACACCAAGTCTGTTCCAGCCCAGGCCTGGGTGTTTGCACTTGCTTGTCCCTCGCTGCCTGGGACTCTTCCCATTCAGGCCCCTGCTCAGCCATCACTTCTAGAGAGGCCTACAGAGCACACTGCCGCCATAACCCTCCATCTCCTTACCCGGGCTTATCTTCCTTCACGTGACACATGACTTATGTTCCCTGACGTCTTATTGTAGCTTTCTGTAGTTTCTGTCTCTCCCACCAGAATGAACACCCTGTGAGAGCCAGGATGTCTGTTCCATTATCTGCTGCTGTATCTGAGGCCTAGAACAGGGGCTGGCACACAGTACGTACGTGCTGAGTGAATGCCTGAACTCACTGAGCAGCTTAGATCACAGCCGCATAAGCCCACCTCCCAATCAAACACCTTTAGGACTCTCAGGTCCTCACCCTGAAGTTCAAGGCCTTCCTTGACCCTCCCAGCTCTCTCCTCCCAAGCACTCCACATAGAACCTCTGCTTTAACCAAACCAGCACCCACGAAGCAACCTCACTCTACCCTGCCTTCCTGTGCTTCCCTCTGCTGGACAGGCACTCCCAAAGGCCACTTCCCTGGGGGAAACGTCACCTGATCCCCCAGTCAGTGTTCAATCAAACAGCCTGAACTACTCTGAGCTTCCTGGACACTCCAACTAGTGGCACGGGGCACGTACTGCCCAGCCTAGTATCCACCTTCAGGAAATATCTGCTGAATGATGGCTATTTGGGTGGAAGTGTCCCCTGGACATGCTCTGGCCTCAGCCAGAGACATGGACTTCTCGCAGTTTCATCTTCAGATGTACTCTCTCTCAGACCAGAGCTACTCCTGGAAGCTAGGCTGGCAGAGGCGTGGGGGGCTTGAGCAAAACAGCTGCTTCGTGGGAAGGCAGGTCCAGGTGAGCCAGACCAACCCAACTTTCCAAGAGGAGCAGGAAATCCATACATGAATGTGAAACTTGCCATTTAAAATATTAGTAATTAATTCAAAGTCACTAGCCGAGATGTTAAACACACTGCAGCTCACACCTCCTGCCTATTTGCTCGCGACAGCGAACCTCCACATTTCTGCTTTTCCAGCATTCGACAAGCACCTCTCACGTACTTGTCGCATGCCTGCTGATCTGTGACTCCAAGCACCGGGCCAGGCTGTGCCCATGAGGCCCAGCAGCTCTACCCTGACCTTACCTTCATTATGTTGAGCTCTCCTTCTCTCATCCCGTGGTGTCCTGGTTCCGTCGATTTTCCTAGAAAAGAAAAAAAAAATAGGTGCATGTTACCTCCAGCCCATTGGTCCAAACGTTTATTAAGGAGTCAGACTTAAAAATGATCTTTGCAACACATATCCATACGCAGAGAGAGAAAGAGAAAGAAAGAGAGAGAGGAAAGAATATGGCATTTTCTTTACTTAAATTAAAGAAACAAAAACCGACCAAAAAATACACCAACTGCCTGCCGTGTACTCAACTGCCTGGCTCCGATTTCAGAAACACATTCCCTTCCTTGGGCCCCCACACCAGGCCCTCCCAGTGTCCCCTACTCCTGGGACCAGGTCTGCTGCACATACGGGGAGTAGGGGTGTGTCCGGGGTGCAATTGTCCTCTGCGTTCCTGTCTGAAGCACATCCTGGGGCGTCATCATGACATAGAACTGGCCTGCAGGGAAAGCAGGGGTTAGTGCTAAAACTGGGGACAGAGTCAGAACTGGCCGGGGGAGCTTCCCTCCCTGCTAGGCCTGTTGCCTCCCCTGCCTTCCGCCCTGGCCCCTTCCTTCCTTTACCTCCAGCCTGCAAGCTCTGGTCTGTGGTCTGTACGGACACAGCCGTGGTATCTCCCACACTGGACGCTGGGAAATAGGCAAATCGTGCCTCCCCACTGACAGCCTCAGCTGCCGGGCTGCCACCATTGCTGAAGGGATTTTGGATTACAGCCTAGGGAGTAGGAGGACAGAGGCCACCCTTAGCCATCTTTGTTCCCCAGTCCATCCCCCTAGTTGCCATATTTGATGTTTACTGCATTCTCTAGGGAGAGTGGGGAACCCCTCTGTGTGTGCCACTCTGCCCTGTGTCTCACAGCCCTGGAACTCGACAGATACTCAGCAATCACTTAGTGAACTGACCCACTTTTAACTTTTAAGAGACTGTCCTGTTACTGTGATTCCCCTTTCAAAAAAAAAAAAAAAAAAAAAAAAAAGTTCCAAAGATCTTGCCCCAGGTTTCACTGTGCAGAACAGAGATTTCACCTGAGGGCCTGAAGGCAGCATCTTGGTCCCACGTGCCCCACCCCCTGGGGCTCCCCCAAGAACAGAGGCAGTGTCCCTTCTCCATCCCCCCAGGGGTTGCTGGGCACCTACCAGTGGGAAGGGCGCTGCGGGACCTGGGGGCACAGAGGCAGCAGCGGGGCCGGGGCGCTGGGTGGCCCCATCCACACCCACCTGCGTCACAGCCTGCTGCCCCCCCGCGAAGGCAGCCGTAGACACGACGCTGACGGCGCCTGCTGTGTCGCCCTGGCCGTCCAGCTGACCATCAGTCACCTGGACTACGCGGTATGTCACCTGCAGGGGGCGGCAGAGAAGGAAGACCCGCGCTGGGGCCCGGGTAGGGGCCAGGTCCGAGCCCCTCCCAGCCCGCCCACTCTACCCGGGGCTCAACCCTCCACTTGCCCGCCGGTCTCCGGGCCCGCAGGCTCACCTGTCCTCCATTATTCTCTGTGCGGAATTGGTACTGGATGTTGTGGTCGCCGAACGCCGCCTGCTGGACGCTGGCGATGGCCACCGCCGTCTGCTCCTCCGCCCCAGGGCCGTCCCCGCCTGCGGTCGGAGGAGGGTAGGGGGGATGGTCAGAGGTGGCGCGGGCCAGGGCGCTCCCAGTGCCCTCCCGGGCGCAGGTCGCGGCCCCGGTGGGCCCCGCGAGCACTCACCTTCCTGCAGCTCGACGCCCTCCTCTGCCTCGGGTCCCTTGTCGTGACTGCGGGGAGGACGGGAAGAAGAGGGGGTCAAGGTTGCCCGTGCCCCCGCCCCTTCGCCCAGGTGCAGGGCCCCCATCCCGCCCGCCCCAGTCTGGGGCTGCGGCACCGCCAGGTCCGGGGGCCAGGGATATTCGCGCGGGTCCTCCCTCCCTCGCGGCCTCCATTTTGAGCTGGGCCCGGCGGCCGCTCGGGATCATGGCGGCCAGGACGAAGGGCCGGGGCCAGGGCGCGCGGGGGCGCGGATCGGCCGGGCTCCCTTACCTGGCGGCGGCAGCAGCAGCGGTAGCCGAGGCAGCAGGATCCAGACCCGGGTCCAGCATGTCCATGGGGGGGGTGGGGGCGGGGGGGGGGGGGGGCCCGGGGGGGGGGGGGGGGGGGGGGGAGGGAGGGGGGGGAGGGGGCGGGCGGCCGGGGGGGCCCCGAGCCCGGCGCTCACGCCGCGCGGCAGGAGGGGACGGAGGAGACACGGGAGCCGCTCGCGCTGATCACGGGGACAAACAGTGGGGTCATGTGAGGAGGAGATGCCGCCGCCGCCGCCGCCGCCGCCGCCGCTGCTCCTGCAGCCGCCTCCGCCCTCTCGCCCGCCGGCCGGCTCCCGGCGGCTCTAGGCTCCGGGACGCAGCGCAGCCGCCCCCCGCCCGCTCTTCGCGGCCCTCGGGCCTCCTTCCCTGAGTTGCCGCCGCCGCCGCGACTTTTTTTAACCCGGCCCGCCCTGGATGGCCGCAGCCTCTCCCCTGGGTCGCCGGCTCGCGCGTCCGCCGCCCGGCCTGGCCCAGCGCGGCGGCGGATCGCTGCTGCAGCCGCCGCCGCCGCTTTCTATTTTTTCCCCCTTTTTTTTCCTCCTTTACTTGAGCTGCGCGCGCGCGGCGGCGGCGGCGCGAGCCCGGGGCCGACGCGCGCGGGGGGAGGGCAGCCCCCGGGGAGCGCGCGCGCTGTCTGTCTCCGATGGAGGGCGGGTGCGCGGGCCCGGGTGTCGGCGGGGCGCGAGGTCGCCGTCGCCGCCGCCGCCAGCGCGGCCGCCGCCCCGGCACCCGCCGGCGGGCCGCCCGAGTGGAACGCGGGCCCGGATGGAACGCCGGGGAACCCGGAGGAGGGGCTCTGGTCGCCGGGAACGAGGCAGGCGGCGGGGTTTGGAGACAGAAAAGTAGGTCGGTGTGGGGGGGAAGAGTAGATGGGGTGGAAGGGGAGAGGAGCGCGCACGCGCGCCCCCGGCGGCCGCGCTGTGGTGCGCGAAGGCGGGGGCCCGAGGCGCATGCGCACGTCTGGGCGGGTCCGGGGGCGCGCACGCAGGGCGGGGCGGAGCCAGCGTGGGGCACGTATTCCTGGCCGCCGAGGGACGGAGAAGGCAGAGCTGGTCCTTTCCTCCTGGGTCGGGACGCAAGTCCCAAGACAGAACTGGACATGCGGCCTTTTGCAGACACACACAGCAGCTGTTCGGGCTCCCCACCTCGCGCAGCAAAACAAACGCTTCCCTCCAGACTTAGGACTTGTGATCATAAGTTTTATTAGTCTTAGGAAGAGATCATCGATAATTCCTCAAATTTAAAAAAAAGTACAAAAGTTACATACAAAACGTTGAGATCAGACGACTAAACTTTCCCGACTCAGGCCCAAGTTCTGCAAGGGAAAAAGAAAGAAGGATGTGAGCTGGGGAGGACTGGAGAAGAGGGTCCAGGAAGGCTCTTAGAGCCAGGTAGGGCCGTTCACTCACCTTCTTAAGCCTCCGCTCCCGTGAGGCCTGGGAGTCAGTCTCAGAGTAAGGGGGAGGCGCTGGAGGGTAGTAGCCTTCCTCTTCTTCCTCCCTGTAAGGTCTCCTTCTCTCCGCTGGCCCCTTTTTCCGCAAGGCCTCTTCTAGTAGCTGCCCATCATATTGGGGGTCCCCAGACCTGGAGCCATCATCTGGAGGGTCCCGGGAGGGGTGGTAGCGGGCCCTAGGGTCAGCATGAGGGCGGCCTCTAGACCTGAAGTCATCATAGTAGGGATCCCGGGAGTGTGGGAAGTGCCTTGAGTCGTCTTGGTCTTGGTCGTAGAGGTCATCACGGCTGCGGCTTCGGGGGGGTGCACAGGCCCGGCCTCTCCTCCCACTACTTGGGGGAGACCTCCCTGATTCAGCGGAGCCTGGCCGGGCGAGGTCATCTAGGGCATCCACAGAACGGGCTCGGGGCCGCCCGGCCCCCCAGCCACTCCCTGGCCGGTCCAGGGGGGGCTCTTGTTCCCACCTCCTCGAACTCCGGGGGGAGTGGTGACCCCACTCCTCATCCCGGATCGGGGTGAGGGCAGGGCCCCGGGAAGGCCGGGATCTCCAGTCGTCCTCATGGAGGGAGGTGACTTCACTCATGGCTGTGGGAAGGAAGGTGTCACTGGTGAGAGGAGGTCAGGACCTAATGTCAGGAGCCCTGTGGTCCAGCAATGTCATCCACTTGGCTCATATACTCTCAAGGGGGCCCTAGGCTTTTCATCTATTTAGTGATGATCGTACACTTCACTGTGGCCATGGTAGGGAATGAGGGATCGTGTCCAGGATTTGGAGCAGGTATCAGGGAGCCATGTTTCCCCCAACCCCCGCAAGAACCCCTCAGACCCCAAGGCTCCTCACCTCGCTCTACACGGCCATTTGGGGGACCAGGTCGAGAAGAGTCAAAGTTGGCCAGCTCCTTCTCCATGTAGTACAGGACCCGCATGGAGTCGTCCTGCTGGTTGGCCTGAATCCTATAGCCACTACGGATTTCTGGGGACAGGAGTTGGAGGTGATCAGTTCCGGGAGGTTGGATGCTGACCCAGCCCCCGCCCCTATAGGCATGTCCAACCTCATAAGGATTGGTTCTCACCAGAGGTCACGTTGCTGTCTGTGTCACGAAGCAGGGGTACCTGGGAGCTGTGGCCACCAACTGGGGGAGACTGGCTGTCAGGAGGAAAACCCTGCATTCCCAGCCCCCAAGCCCCCCTTCCAGCCCCAGACCCCTTAATGGCCAAATACCCAGCCTACCCCCTGCCCCAGCTGCTCCTGGCTCCCCCCGACCTCACCTGAGCTATTCCTGTCGAAGTCTCCAGAGTACCCGTTGTACAGAGGGCCCATGGGAATCATGGCTGGGGTCTTGGCAGGGGAGAGGTGGGCATAGGTGCTGGGAGCGTAGATGCTTGGGACACCTGACGTGGCAGCTTTGCCTGCAGCATACACTGGGGAGGACACACATAGCATGAGAAGGCCCCCAGGGGCCACATGCCTTCTTCCCACCCCACCTCCCCCCGCCACCCCACCTCCCGCCACCCCAGGCAGAGGAGCTTCCCTAGGTGCTTGGTTGGTTTCTGCAGGGTCCCTGAGGTTAGGGGACATCAGCTTCATTGAGTCCACACCTCCTGTGCCATTCCTCACAGAAGTTTCAGGATGGGGGGGTGCATATTGGCAGCCGGCGGCCCCGATCTGGTAGGCCAGTATGTTTTAGACAGTTTGATGGTTTGCCAACATCTGACAAGGTTTTACATCAAACTCTCCTGCCAGCTTATCACAAGATGCGGCCACCCTGGACCTGCATTCCTACAGAGCGACAGGGGCAGAGGTGCCCTATAGATAAAGCCCACAAGCCGGTAAACAAGTATTCCCTTTGGCAGCTGAGCCCTTGCTCTAGAAAACTGGATCATCTTGCAGGGGGAATCCCATGCCTACTCCCCTCTCACACCTGCTCTGTCCTCCCCACAGGGTCTTGCAGACCCAAAGGTGATGGGACTCAGTCTGAGGCAGGATCTTGGGAGCCTCAGCGTTCACTTGCCTCAGCCAAGCAGCAAAGCGTCTCCTCTAGTGTTTCCCACTTGGGGGCCGCACCCACCCCGCCCCCCCCCCTGGTTCTAGGCTTGACAGCTCAAGGGCAAATCCTCCTCCTCTCCCTGCCACCTTCCTCCCCAGGCAAGAGGTTGGGTCCTGGTGGCTGCTTTGAGGCAAAAGTCATGGGCCTGGGCAAGTCACTTCCTCCCCGGGACTCCAACAGGAAGATGGAGTGGGGAGATGGGCTCAGAAAGCTCCCTTCACCTCTGATTCAATTGGGAGGCAGAAGGCTCAGTGCTCAGCCCCACCCCACCCAGCCCTGAAGAAGCCCTTCGCGGCTCAGCTGATGTGCCCTTTTATAATTAACTGTGGGAGATGCTGCTCCAGGACAGCTCAGCAGGACTGTGGCTGTGACAGAAACGACAGGGCCTCCGGCAGGGAGTTAATGGGACCTCGCTTTGGGGTAACAGGGTCTCAGGATGGAGGAAATGGGGCCCTGGGCCTGGCGTTTGCAGTCCTGGTCCCAGCCTTAGTTAGTGGGGTAACTGCGAACTTGTTTGCAGCCCTTGAGGATTCCACGCGACCTGTGAAATGACCAACACCCACTGCCCGAGCAATAAGCAAGAAGCTCTCACTAAAAATGATGAGAGGGAGAGGGGATGGCCAGCACAGGCCTCCAGAGAGCAGTGGATTTCTTTTTTCAGGGCCGCGATGAAGCAGGTTGCCCACCGCTGAGTTCAGTGACTGTAAAGTTAGCCAGCATGGATTGAGATGCGGCCCCGTGCTGGGCCTGCGTACACAGTGCTCCCTTGATGCTCACGATGCCCCCGTGACGGCAGGACCTTGCAGAGAAGGAAACCAGCTGCTCGTCTGAGGTCACGTGGTGTGAGTGGCAGGGCTCTGATTTACCAACGCTGACAGCAGCAATGTCCAACAGCTAGTGGGCGGGGAACACTCTATGTAGGCCAAGCCCCGCAGTTAATGCGGGACACACCAGTTCACCAGATCCCAACTCACCCTGTACAGCGGGCTCTACCATGGCCCCATTTTACAGAGGAGGAAACTGGGGCTGAGAGGGGAGGTCATTCACTGGGCTTCCCAACAGGTAAGGTGTCAAGCCAGGACTCAAACCTCCACCTGCCCAAGCCTGCAACGACTGCCTATGATTTTACCTGGACCATATTACACTGGAGTTATGGCACGTGGAAACCTTAAATATACGGATGCCAACACACAGCCGTCTGAGCTACATGGCTAATTCTTTCCACCACCTTGGCCTAGAAATCAGCAGGTGCCAGGAGAGGGGCAGGTCCGTCCCCCTTTTGGTCTCCCATAGTCTAGGTGCTCCTAACACGTAAAGTTATTTATTTCTATCTACCAACATCATCTGTTCATCAAGTAAAGATACGGTGAACTTGACAATGATGAAGGAAAAGGTGAGGTGTCCTCACTAAGAGCTAGTAGGGGAGTGTGCTTTCATGGCCCACTTTCAATACAAGGAACAAGAGAGCAGATATGTCTGAATATAAGAAAGTAGCCAGTGTAAACTTCCATGTCAGAGGTGATGAAAATAGTCATGCGAACTTCCCAACAACGGAGTGCAGAGGTGCTGGTTCACCCAGACGCTCTCTGGAAGGCAACCGGCAGTGCTGAGGTCCCTGAGGAAGGGGAACGGGGCACCTGGAGGAGGGAGGCTCTCTCTTCCTTTCCACCCCTGTTTTGTTTGCTGCTTCTCCCTCCATCTCTGGTCCCACGTCTAATCCCAGGCCTGCAGGTGCCCACTCTGAGGCCCTGGATGTGTCCTTAAACGGCACCCGTGGGAAATCCGGAGTGCTTGTGTGGATGTGGGTTGTTAAAAGATGCTTGAATTTGCTGGGGCTGTCAACCTTGTTTGGTTTCTCACCTTTTTCACTTAGATTTTGTTTTTTGTTTTTGTTTTTTTTTTTTTTTTGGCCACCCCGCGTGTCATGTGGGATGTTAGTTCCCCAACCAGGGATCAAACATGTTCCCCCGGCAGTGGAAGCGCGGAGTCTTAACCACTGGACCGCCAGGGAAGTCCCCAAGATTCTGTTTTTAAAGGTAGTTTTACTTTCCGGTGAATAATGTTTTGTACTATTTGAATTTTTTTTTTTTTTTTACCACGTGCATAAATTATACTTTCAAAAGCAAAGACTCAAAATAAATGAAAGGTGAAAAATAAGTGAAGAGCTGAAGTATGTAAATGATAATCTAAAACAGCAGGTCCTCCTTGGCCCACTTTCTCCCAAATTGCTCCCCTTAAAACCTCCAGACCGGGACTTCCCTGGTGGTCCAGTGGTTAAGACTTTGCCTTCCAATGCACGGAGCGCGGGTTGCGGAGCTGAGGACCCACATGCCTCAGGGCCAAAAACCTCCAGACCGGTGAGTGGCACCGTCCCGGGAGGCAGGCAGACGGCCACCTCCTCTCCTTGGACTCAGGAGGGAGGCCAAGCGGGGGCGGACAGGCGAGGGGCGAGGGACACTTACGGGCCTCTGGGCAGCAGCACTTTTCGGGGCAGCAGGGGCACCTGACGTAACAGCAGCAGGTGTGGGGGCAACACTGACACCAGCAGATGCCCAGCAGGAGGAAGACGAGGAAGGCAGCCAGGCAGACCACGACCACGAACAGCCAGTCTGCGGAGACACAAGAGCTGGCCCTGAGCTGGGAGGCCGGGGAGGGGACAGGGATGCGGGCACCGGGGGCAGTGCGGAGTGAGGGTGGGGCAGGGGCCGTCTGCAGAGCTCTCCGGGAAGCTGCAGCCCTCGCTGGAGTCTCCACGCCAGGGGCTGGGGCGCAGCTGCAGAGGGACGCCCGCTCCTCTACAACATGGGCCGGCCCCAAAGTTAGGGAACTCGCCCCAGGCTCATCTGGACGAGGCAGTGAACACAGGGCGACCCGGCCAGAGCAAGATAGGCTGTAGCCTTGCGAGAGGACAGAGAGCCAGGTGCCCAGATCCCGACCCCCAGAAGGGCACTGCAGGCACCAGTCACAGGAGCCCCCTGCCTACACCCCAGGCCCCTCGTCAGCCAGCCCAGCCCACCCCACGGCCCAGAGCCAGGTCACTAGATGCCCCGGAGTTGGAGTCAGGCGGCGTTATTAGTGGGGTCTGAGCGTGCGGCGTTTAGGGCAGGGGAGAGTACTCGGACAGAAGCGGTAAGTGGTGCATGGGGGACTCCACCCGCCCTACCTTCCATGGGCCCCGCCTGAAAACCGGGTAAGAGCTCAGCCACCCCAGAGGTCCTGCCTGGAGGGACAAAAGAGAGACAGATTATGCTGCCCCTGCCCTGAAGCCCGGCTCCGGGGTCATCAGGGTGGAGGTATGCCCTGCAGAAGAGGTGGGGTCGGTGGACTAGCAGGGTCCGAGCATGTGGTTCCTCCCCCATCCCCCCATCCTATGTGGGTGCTGTTTTCCAGAAGATTTCCATCATGTAATTCACTCACTCTCTCCCGCCACGGGGGATTCTATTGCCCAGAAGGGTTCCAGGATGTATCCCATGGGCTCTGAAGGATCGACCTCAGTTTGGGACTCCATCTCTTCCACACACACAGGTCCTATCGCCCCAAAGGGTTCCATCCCAGGTGAGAGGGGCAGTCCCTGTTCCACCAGGCACAAGAGGTATAGTAATGCTAGGGCCCATGGAAATGTTTTATTTTAAAATCTGAAGAAAAAAATACGACAATACTGAATATATAACAATGACTTGTCTTTATAACAACACAATCATAAAATATAATGTTTTTTTTTAATCCAGAGGAAGAGGCCCTTGAAGGCGAAAGTGCCTACAACCCATAAAAGTCACAGTATGGCCCTGGGTTCTCTGCCCACCGGGGTCCCCTACGCAAGTTTCACGGCATGGCTAGTGTCTCCTTTAGGTGCCGCCCGGCACTCCGTGCCCCGCGAGTGCTGTATCTCAGGGGCATCTACACACCTGGCTGTACACCAACAAAGCTCTATCCAGAACTCAGCACCCCATGCCACATGCCCCCAGGAGAAGGTTCTAGCATATAAACCAGCGGTTCTCAAAGTGTGGTCCTGTCTGGGAGGCCAAGCCGCTCTCCTGATAACACTAAGCCATTGTTTGCCCTTCTCACTCTCCTTCACCAGTAGAGGTGCAGGCGGGGGAGCTTTCCACAGGCTCCATCACATGTGATGATGTCATTTGCTCTGATGGTAATCGACTGTGTGCCTGTGTGCCAGATTCAATTTATAATATGTTAAACAACTATAAATATAACCCACAGAAACGTAAACAAAATTTCTTTGAGATCCTCAATCATCTTTCTTTTACGTGGGTCCTGCGACTAAACTTGAGACATGCTGATGTAGGTTGTGCATTTTACCAAAGAACACACAGATTTCTCTGGGTCACTGGTGCATGCACTCTGTCACCCAGACGTGAACTCTGTTGCATGATCTGAGCACCCTGGGGCGTGCTCCCCCATCATGTGCTCGTGCACACATGCGTTACCTTGCATCATGCGTGTGATGATGGCAACGTGCGACCTGGCAACGTCTCACATATAGCACACACCACGCGAGACTGTATGTGTCGGCTGAGAACAGAGCATCTGGCTAACAGCAGCATCCCTTCCACACGTGGCGGGGGGGTGGGCCTCACAGCCGGGCGGAGGCTGCTGGCGGGTACCCCAGCCTGCCCCTGAGCTTGTAGAGGCAGCCGAGCTTAAGGGGAGCAATAACTACACAAGCCACACAGTGCCATCCCAGCAGGGCAGAGGGCCAGCTTCCAGTGCTCTGGCAAGGGACTCCGGGGTGAGAGGTGGCTCTGGGGGTGGGGCAGAAGCCTCCTCTCAATTATACACGCCATCAACCCTCCTCGCTCACTGCCCATCAACTCTAACCGTTTCTGTATTTTTAAAAACGGAGACTGGGAAGAGGTAGAGTCCCCATTTCTCTCCACTCTTAGTTCTGGCTCTGGTTTATTTGAAATGTTGCAGCGGGCGAGGGGTCCCTACCCTGCCTGGGGTGCAGGGTACAAATAAGCCCAAGTGACTGGTGGTGCTGTGAGGGGAGAACAGAGCAGGCGACAGAGCCCAGAAAGTGAGCTGGAGGGCAGAGAGCAGATACAGCAGTGGCAGAAGCAGCCCCCGACCCCGTCCCTCAGGGCCCAGCCCACTCACCGAGGACGATGAGCTCTGCGTAGGCCTCGTTGTTCCCCTGGAGGTCCTGGGCTGAGACCACAGAGCAGTAGTACACACCGCTGTCCCCCCAAGCCGTCTGGTCAAAGGTCAGGTCAGCATCTGCGTCGGGAGGAGATGCGTGAGGGCACCTCGGGGGAGGGGCGCCCGATGCCCGCAGCCCCTGCCATGAGCACATGGGGAAGGGGCTGCAGACAGACAAGTGAAAACTGAATCACTCATACCAGGGGCACTCTACCTTGTAGGCTCGGTTCTAAACACTTAATGCGGGGAATTTCAAGAAGGCTGTCAGATGGCACTGCTACCTTCCCTGTCTTGTAGAGAAAAGAAAGGGGTCTGGTGAAATTACTGATGAGCTGTACAATTGTGGCAAAAACTGGGGTGGTGGGGCTGGGACGGTCTGACTCCAGAGCCAGCAGTTCAGACTTACGCCTTTCCTCTGTCCCATGTCCCAAAGCAAAAGTCGACTCCCCAAGACACGACCCACCACAGAGCCTAGTGCAGACCCAGGGGCCTGGGGCCTGGATAAGGAGGCAAAGATAAACAGGCCAGATTCCAGGGATCAGGAGTCACCCAGGCATGAGAAGGCGGGGATGTGAGGGAGAGACTTGGACTAGTTCCCTCGACCTCCGGCCACCATCAGCACCCCGCTTCCAGGTCAGGCCCAGGGCTTGAGCACGCTCTGTGAAGCAGCCCCAGGCAAGGAGCCTGTTAATTACACCAGAAAAGGGCTTCTGCACATCCAGTTTCCTCTCTGCTCCTCAGGCCCTAATTAGTTAAATCGCTCCAGCCATTCACCAGGGCGGGACAGTGTGTGAGATGGGGCTGCGGGGCAACTCCACCTTAGGCCCCCAGAGGACAGGAGGTAGGAACAGGCCAGAGACAGCACCCCCAGAGGCCCACAGCCTTTCTCCCCAGCTGCTCTGGCTCTCTGGCTCCCTCGGACCTGCCTACCACCTTGCCCCACGGACCCCTGCCCTTCCCCAGGACAGTTCCGAGGGCAGCCACTGCGTGCACCCCAGTCCACAGCACCTGGGCATCAGTCAACTGCCAAAGGAATGAAAGACCCGGAGCCTCCTTCATTCTTTGGAAGGAAGACCTCACATCCATAGAAAAACCTCCTCTCAACGTCTATCTACACCATTCCAATCGCCTTACCCTGGCTCACAAGGCCCTTGCAGTGACACACGGCCACTGGTCACCACACCAGCCTCATCCCCCCACTCTCCTTCACTCACTAGACTCCAGACACACTGGCCGCCTCACTGTCCCCCCCACGTGCTGGGCTCCCAACTGCCTCAGCCTGCACTCCTGCTGTTCCCTCTGCCTGGCTCTGTGTTCGCAGACCCTCAGAGGGCTGGTTCCATCCTGCTGGCACAGCTCCCCTGCCAGACTGCCTAATTATATCAGCCAGCTTAGGGGCTGACTGGCCATGATCCCATCTCCAGGAGGAAGCGGGCTCCAGGCAAGCAGAACCTGGTCTGTCTTGGTCACTGCTGAGTCCTCCAGGGCCTGGCCAGGAACTGGGAATGAACCCCTCCCCTCCCCATGCTGACCTTCCTTAGCGTTCTGGGCATGTGGCTATATTCGAGTAGGTGCTTGATACAGTCATTATAAACGAGGCACCTGGTGCACTAAAGAACAACAGTTCTCAAAGTGTGATCTGTGGCACCTAGGGTTCCGCCAGACCTTTGCAGGGGATCCCTGAGGTCAAAGTTATTTTCATAATAATCGTAAGATATTTGCCTTTTCCACTTAATCTCATGAGTGTAGTGCGGAGCTTTCCAGAGGCTGCATGTGTGTGCTATCACAATACCCTGAATGCAGAAGCAGCTTTGAGAAGCCAGCTTCTATTCAGCCAGACTTTAAGGAGATGTGCAAAAACATAAAATCAATGCCATACATTTTCATTAAAGTTTTTCATTTGGGAAATACAGTTATTTTTTCATAAAAGTATGTTATTTACACTAATCTATAGTTTATTATCATCATTAAAAATTTTTTTTATCTTCTCAGTATATTTTTTCATAAAAGTATGTTATTTATACTAATCTATAGAGTTTATTATCATCATTAAAAATTTTTTTTTATCTTCTCAGTTTTCTAGCTGTAAAAACAAAGCTCTTTGAGGACCTCAGTAATTAAGGGTGTAAGGAGGCCCTAAGACCCACACGTTTGAGAACCACTGCTATAGAGGACAGGTATGAACCCCTGCCCTTATATGGCTCAGATCCTAACTGGGAAAGAGTGACAAATAAAAAATTTAAACATATCGAGGATCAGATGGTGAGAGCAATGATAGAAGGCAGACAGGAAGTGCCTCTGTTGTAGAGGTGGGGACCGTGAGGAGTTTAAGTGACCCGAAAGGTAGGGTGACCCTGGGCGCTGACACTCCTTCGTGGTCACATATCCAGCCCCCAGTTATTGATCTCTTACTATGTGCTGGGTCCCTCTGCATATGTTCTTTCATGGAACCATCCTAAAACTCTAACGTACCTTCTCCCAAATCCTCCAGATTCTCCATAACACCCTCTTGGCCCATCATTTTTTCCACTTGTATCTTTAAATCAGACTCTAAAAATGCCTCTCCAAAACCAGAACCCAAGAGGAGGGCCCCGCCCAAAGCCAGAGCGGGGTGGGAAGGCAGGCCCTAGGCCAGCAAGAGCTCCTAGGCCAGAAGCTAAACTCTGGGCTCCTGCGGGCCGGATCTGGGTCTCAATGCATTTTGTTTGGCCTGCACAATGTTTTCAAAACCCATGAAAAATACCACTTTCCGGCTTCTTTTGATCAGTTCTAAGGCCTGGGCCCACCTCCTTCCTGCAAGGCGCACCCTGTTCCCAGTCTATGTCTGGTCCTGACATCACCTGGGCTGGGCATTGCTCTAATTATTTTAGGTGCAAGGAGAAAATGCCGGGTCTCCACTAGGGAACAGGAGCTGGGCTTTCCTCCACTTCCCTGGGCCTCTGATTCCTCATTGCACACAGCAGAGGCGGCCCTGGTGATCTCGGGGTGGGGGTGGGGGGGGTCCCATGAGCTCTCAGGTCCAGCGCTACTGAGCTGGGGGCACATGGGCCCCAAGCAGCCTGAAGAGGTAGAAACAGGGCCCCAATCCAGGCGCCCACATCACCCAAAGGACGGAAGAACGGAAGGGGAAGCGGGACCCACCCAAGCTGAGGGACACTGCTCTGGTTTTCCCAGGATGACTTTCACTTTTAAAACCTGGGCCGTTGGTGACCCTAGGAATTCCAAAGGGAACTCTGCTTTTCTCCATCCTCAAAGCTGAAATGGAGGAAGCTCCCATGGCTACTGGGCTTCCTGAAAGGACATACACACAATGGATGTTTACAAATCATGGCCTATATCAAACATGGGCCCAGGTCAAGGCAACTTGAAAGACCTGGGCCTGTGGGGCCTCTGGAGCAGGAAGAATCTGCCCCAGATAGAGCCTGAAGGTCACCTGAGTTCTGGACTCAGCAAACGGGGCACAATTCCAGCCAATCTTCAAGGGCACTCTCAGGACTGGAGCTGTCGTGACAGGGCTGTCCGGTCATAACCTGGTCCAGGCTGGAGAAGTCCCTGGATTATGGGGTAGGGGCCTACACAGGTTGAACCCGCAAGAAGCCGTTTATCCACAAGAACAGCAGGATGCTTTGGGCTCGCTGCCCGTGGAAATTCAGAGCCAGCAGGGCCAGTCCCTCCCCAAAACAAGACTGACATGCTGGGTCCCTGCCCATGGTCTAGACAGAGGGTGGGAAGGACTGTGCTCCAAGGTCTGGTCTCTTGGAGTCGGTAAAGGGATGCCCCCTTCCCTCCTCGGCCCCCATGCCCATGATTGAAACTCTAATCCTTGTTGAAGCAGGTGAGCCTTCGTCCCTCACCCACTGCTGCCCATCACCCTCCTCTCTGCCGGCTAGATTCTTTAGGGCACAGTCCCAGTTCCTCTTCAAATCATATTTGCAGCGGTTTTAAGGGGTGAGCCCCGAGTCATTATCACATATCACCCAGGTCTGTTTTTCTTTGTAGCACTTTGCAGGACTCTCTGAAATTCTCTTACTCTTTCTTTATCTGCTTGTTTGTTGCCTGTCCCATCCCACGAGAACATCACCTCCTTGAGGACAGGGATCTTGGCTGACCTGATCACCCCTGTAGCTCCAGCACTGGTTACCATAGCTTCTGGCACTTAGAAGATGTCCCATAAATACCAAATAAATGGATGAATGAATGAACAGCTTCCCCACTGCCCTTTACCTGGTTCCAACAGGCACCTCCTATCAGCAGCTAGCATTATGGTGAAGGACAAGGGTTCTCAGTGCTGCCTGAATTCAAATCCCAGCTCCAGCCTTTTACTGGCTGTGCACCAAGACAAGCTACTTTATCTCTCTGTGCCTCTCAGCTGTCCTGAGTGTAAAATGTGGGCATAAAGCACCTGGCAAGTTGTAGGCTTTCTCCATTAAAATCCCTCACCCCTTCGGTTCACTCCTGTTACCTCCTCAGTGAGTTCTTTGCTGAACTCCCTGGGCAAGCAAAGGGGTTACTAGCTTGAAGACTAGACCCAAAGTGTCTGACTTAGACTCCCACCAGCTGTGTGACCTTGTGCAAGTCACTTGACCTCTCTGGGTCTCTGTAAAATGACAATAACAGAATCTACCCACTCAATTATTGTGGTCTAAATGAGTTAATCCATGTCAAACTGGATTAGAGCCTGGCACACAGGAGGCTCTTTAAGAGTTGTTACTTATATAAATTCTACTTATTACTGCTGATACTACTAGTATTATTATAGAACCCCGCCTCTCTCTCCATTACCCACTTTTCTTTATCTTCAAGCACTTGATAATATGTGTTGCGTTTATCTTATTTGTCTCCCTCACTGGAATTCAAGCTCCAGGAGGGAAGGGATTTGATGATTTTGTTTACTGCTGTATATCCAAGGCCTCAAATGGCGCCTGGTATATGTTAGGTGCTCAATAAACCTTTGCTGTTAAATAAGGGTACGGACGGATGGGTAGAAGAAAGGATCCCTCCCTCTGTCAATCCTTTCAGACACTGGCGCTGACGAACTTCCAGGTGGGGACTCCAGGTTGGACATGAGGAAGCCAGCACCACCACCCAGTCCAGCCCCAGCCCACCCCCTGCCTCCCCCCTCCCCACCCCACGTACTTCCTGTGATGGTGATCCTCCGGCCCTGGTAGTAGTCTCCCAGGGTCACGGCATTGCCCTGTTTGGTGGCCACAACCCTGACGGTGCGCACGCTGTCCTGGCACTCCACGTAGGGGTTGTAGCCCGGGTTACCAGCCGCCAGCTGGGCGTTAAGCTGGTTGTCAACACTGGCTGGGGAGAAGGCGTCAGCAAGGCGGTCCCGGCAGAAAGACTTGTACTTCCAGATCACGATGGGCGCCATGGGGGTCGTGGTCGACTGGTAGGAGCAGGGCAGGGTCACGGGTTGGAATAGGATCACCACGTGGTAGGGGTCTGTCACAGTCACCTGGATGGCGCTGGCAGGGGCTGAGGGCAAGGAGAGTCAGCAGAGGGACCGCTGTGAGCTCAAGGAGGTGCTTCAGCAGGAAGGAGCAACATTACTTGTCACCAGCTTGACATTTACAAGTGTACGGTTTTACAAAGCGCCTGGCACACATTGTTTCTTAATCCCCAAGACCGGTAAGATAGCTCCGATAATCATGCCCATTTTACAGACCCAGGGGGCTGAAGCGGCCGGTGCAAGGTCACATTGGCCAGATTTCTTGGAACATCCTGTCCACCCCTCTTCCCAGAGTGTGACCTCGGAACCGCCCTTGCCCCCTCTTCCCTTGCCCATTCTGTCATGGAGAGGGCCTCTCTGTGGCCCGTGCAGGCAAGCCCAAATGGCCCCCCACAAAGCCCACAGTGCTCAAGGCCCCCCTTCAAAAACAACCACCAAGTGTTCCAAGTTACTCCGGGTTCTGTGAATTTGGAGGGGGGGGATCTTGGAGTTGTTTGGACTGCTTTGCATACAATGGTTAAAGCCCCCCTGTAACGTCTCCACCAGCCTCCCACCTCAGCCCACCCAAAACCATCTCAAATGAACACGCCCAAAGTGCCTGCTGAAAAGTAAAGTACCTCTGATACTCCCACCCAAACAAACATCAGATCCAGCAGAAGATGGCTTCCAAACAAGTCCTTGAGTCCCTTCCACCAGACTCTTACGCACAGATACTTCGGACATGGTTGGGTTGGGGGGTGGGGGGTTTCCAATACCGCACCCACCAAATGCCTGGGCGCTGTTTCTTGATCTCTCCCCCTAGGAATCTTCTACTCCAACGCTCAAGTGCCTTCTCCCCGTTACCCCAAGACTTAGAAATCTCGGCGGGCTACCGAGTCCTCATCCCGGCCTTTCCCAGTGATCGGTGGTCCTTCACCCCTACCCCACAAAGGGTCCCATTCTCCTTGCCGCTCCCGGATTCGCTGTCCCGGGAGTTTCACTTCCTGCTATCTCTGAACAAGGGCGGGGGAGCGCTCTCAGACACGAATAGAGAATTCCTCTCTGGCACACAAGGGATCTCCGGAGACTTGGGGATCAGGAGGCCTTAGTCTCTGCGCTCCCCCTCCCCCAGTTCTCCTGCCTCCTGGGCAGTGGAGAACTCCATCCATCGTCCTTCTACAGTGCCCTCCCGCCGTTCCGCGGCACCAGGGACCCCGCTCTCCGTACCTGTGCACAAGGTGCTGAGAAAGAGCCACACGAAGACGACAGTGCCCCAGCCCGGGGTGGCCGGGCAGGAACCCAGCCGCCCCCAGAAAAGCCGGCTGGCCAAAGGCGCCATCTCGGCGGTCTGGGCGAGTCGGGCCCGAGCGTCCCCTCCCAGGTACCCGGAGGGTAGGGGGCGCGGCGCGCACCAAGACTGGGAGGGGTGCCTGCTCCTCCCCTTCCTCCTTCCGTTCCTTGTTCCTATTCCAAACCCACCCTGTTCTAGGATTTTAACTAGAGGACATATCGTGGACGAAGAGCACGCTTCCAGCTTTCGGGGAGAAACTTGCTTGACCCACTGTGGATCTCCGAGCCACTCCACCCCCCGTGGCTCTGGGGAATGGATCGGCCCAGGTACACAGGGTGAGAACACAGGGCAGGGCTAGGGGGTGGGCGGCGGGGAGGGGCTCCTCCACCTCCCTCCCCGGAAGTGGGCTGACCCAGGTGCGTTCCGGCCCCGAGGGTCGGAACCAAGTGACCAGCCTGCCGGGAGGGCGCCTGCAGACTAGGGATCCCGTCCGGCCCCCTTCTGCTCAGGCCATGCCGAACGGGGTGTGAATCACCGAGAATCGAGACTCAACTGGGGTGATTCACCTGTTGAGGGAGGCGGGCGCCGCCGCGCACTTGTTCCCTCTCTGCCCACACCCCTCTCCCCACCTGGCGATGGACCCGCCTAGGTACACTCTGCGGGGAGGGGCGAGTCTAAGCGTGCCTTGGGCTGGAAGAGGCGGCTTGCTTTTAGCGCCTGATTTTTCCGCTAGACCTTGGGGTCCTCGCGTTCGGCTGGACTGAGGCGATGCGGTCCTCGCGCGCTTTACACTTAGGCGATATAAAGAACCAAGCGAAATTTTCGGAAAGGAAGTGTGCCTCCTGAGGGATGCCCGAGGGGAGTGGGGCCCAGGAAAAGTTGTAATTCTACTTTGGAAGTTTTCTCCGCCTCCCCGCCCCCCACAATTCCTAACTTTTGGTTTGGCCCCCGGGCGTTCATCGCCCCAGGTCTGGCCTCCGGAAACTATGGCTCTTAAAGGGGCCGAGCGGAGGCGCGGGACTAGGGACGGTTTCCGCCTAAGGATTCGTAGGGACCGGGGCCACCTGCGTCGAGGGCAGGGTGGGGCGAGGCCAGGCACCCGGAACGCGAGGCGCTCTACGCGGCTCTGCTGTCCTCCGATGGCGGCTAGGGGAAGTGCATCCTGGGGAACTCTGGGAGCTTCTGAGGAGTCTCCCCGGAGGTCGCAAACCGGTTACCGGCTGGCGGGTTACGTACCCAGGGATGTTTTGTTCGACCGCATCCTGTTAAAACCCAAGTTGGATCATGCCCCTCTGCTCAAAACCTTCCCGTGTCTCCCCCTCCCAGCAGAAATCAAAATACTGGGAAGTGGCCTGAGCCCTCTCTGACGTCACCACTGTCCCCCTGGCTTACTCAACTGGCCAACTCAGCGTTTGGGAATGTGCCTCTCACCCTCTCACTTCAGGCCTCTTACCCTCACTACTTCCTCTGCGGGAACACCCGTCCCTCAGATGGCCACCTGATCCTCCCCTTCTTTAGGGCTTTACTTAAAGGTCATCTTTGCAGTGACACCTTCCCTGACCACTTTTTATAAAATTTCAACCAGGTCACATCCCCCCCCGCCCCTCCCCCCCCCCAACCCCCGCACACACACTTTTTTTGTTGTGGTAAAGTATACATACCATAATAGTAATCATTTTAACCATTTGCAAGTATACGATTCAGCGGCAGTAATTACATTCACATGGTTGTGTACCCATCACCACTATCTACTCTTTTTCATCATTCCCAGTATAGACTCTACTTATTAAACAATAATGCCCCGTTCCCACCCGCCCCCAGCACCTGGTAACCTCTTTTCTACTTTCTTTCTCTATCAAATTGCCTATTCTAGGTACCTCATTTAAGTGGAATCATATGACATTTGTCTTCTGTGCCTGGCTTATTTCACTACACATGTTTTCAAGGTCCATCCACATTGTAGCATATATAGCAATCAAAATTTCTGTCCTTTTTATGGCTGAAATAGGATTTCATTTTATGTATATACCACATTATGTGTATCCATTTATCTGTTAGATCCTTGAGTTGTTTCCACCTTTTAGTTATTGTAAATAACGCTGCTGTGAACATTGGTGTACAGATACTTGTTTTCAATCCTTTTGGATATATACCTAGGAGAGGAATCACTAGGTCATATTGTAGTTCTAGTTTTAAACTTGAGGAATTGCCAAATTGTTTTCCATATCGATGCACCTTTTGTATTCCCACCAGCAATGCACAAGGGTTCACACCTCACCAACACTTGTTTTTTTCTGTTTTCTTGATTATAGCCATCCTAGTTGGTGTGAAGTGGCATCTCATCAGGGTTTTGATTTGCATTTCCCTAATGACTAATGATATTGAGCATCTTTTCATCTACTTCTTGGCCATTTGTGTATCTTCTTTGGAGAAATGTCTATTCAAACGTTTGCCCGTTTTTGAATTGCGTTGTTTTGTTCTCTGCTGTTGAATTGTAGTTCTTTTTATATTCTGAATATTAATCCCTCGTCAGATATATAATTTGCAAATATTTTTTCCTGTCCTGTCGATTGTCTTTTCACTTTCTTGATAGTGTCCTTTGATTCACAAAAGTTCTTAATTTGATGAAGTTTAGTTTATCTATTTCTTCTTTTGTTGCCTGTGCTTTTGGTGTCATATCTATGAAAATGTTGCCGTATCCAGGGTCATAAAGATTTTCTCCAGTGCTTTCTTCTAAGACCTTAATAGTTTTAGCTCTTAAGTTAGGTCTTTGATCAATTTTGAGTTATTTTTTGTATATGGTATAAGGTAAGGGTCCAACTTAATTCTTTTGTATGTGGTTATCCAGTTTTTCCATCACCATCTGTTGAAAAGACTGTCCTTTACCCACTAATTGATCTTGACACCCTTGTCAAAAATCAATTGACTGTATATGTAAGGGTTTATTTCTGGGTTTTCTATTCTATTACATTGGTCTATATGTCTACCCCATGCCAGTACCATACTGTTTTAATTACTGTAGCTTTGTAGTAAATTTGAAGTTGGGAAGTGTGAGTCCTTCAACTTTATTCTTCTTTTTCAAGATTGTTTTGGCTGTGCAGGGCCCAGTGCAATTCTATATGAAAGATTTGCTTCCGTTTCTTTGAAAAAGGCTGTTGGAAGTTTGGTAGGCACTGTGTTGAATCTGCAGATTGCTTGGGTGGTATTGACATCATAACAATTTTAAGTCTTTCTATTCATGAACACAGAATGTCTTTCCATTTATTTAGATATTCTTTAATTTTTGTTAGCAATCTTTTGTAGCTTCAGCATACAAGTCTTTCACCTACTTGGTTAGATTTCTTCCTAAGTATTTAATTCTTTTGGATGTGATTGTAAAATGAAATTGTTCTCTTAATTTCCTCTTGGTATTGTTCAATGTTGGTGTATAGCAACACAATGGATTTTTCAGTGTTAATCTTGTACCCTGCAACTTTGCAAAGTTTGCTTATTAGTGGATTCTTTTTGATTTCCTATATGTAGGATCATGTCATCTGAGATTAGGCATAGTTTTACCCCTTCCTTTCCAATTTGGGTGCCTTTTACTTCTTTTTCTTGTTTGATTGCTGTGGGTAGGACTTCCAGTACAAAGTTGAATAGCAGTGGTGAAAGTAGACATCTTTGTCTTTTTCATGGAGGAGGAGAGCATTCAATCTTTAACCATTGAGAATGATGTTAGAAGTGGGGTTTGTTTTGTTTTGTTTTTTTATAATACCCTTTATCATGTTGAGGAATTTCCCCTCTATTCTTAGTTTCCAGGAGTTTTTGTCATGAAAGAGTGTTGGATTTTGTCAAATGCCTTTTCTGTATCAGTTGAGATGATCACATGATTTTCCCCCTTCATTCTATCAACATGATGTATTACATTGGTTGATTTCCTTATGTTGAATCACCATTCATGCATAAATCTCCCTTGGTCATGACTTCTGCCATTTTGCTATTTGTTTTCTATATGCCTTATAGCTTTTTTGCCCCTCATTTTCCCCATTACTCCCTTGTTTTGTTTAGTTAATGTTTTTGTAGTGAAATATTTTGATTCCCTTCTCATTTCCTATTGTGTATATTTTATGGCTATTTCCTTTGTGGTTACCGTGGGGATTACATGAAGCTATAACACTTCAATATGAATTTATACCTGGTTAACATAATTTTAAAAATTATTTATTTATTTTTGGCTGCGTTGGGTCTTCGTTGCTGCTGCAGGCTTTCTGTAGTTGCGGTGAGTGGGGACCACTCTTCGTTGCGGTGCGCAGGCTTCTCATTTCAGTGGCTTCTCTTGTCGCCAAGCACGGGCTCTAGATGCGTGGACTTCAGTAGTTGTGGCACACAGACTCAGTAGTTGTGGCTTGTGGGCTCTAGAATGCAGGCTCAGTAGTTGTGGTGCATCGGCTTAGTTGCTCCATGGCATGTGGGATCTACCCGGACCAGGGCTCAAACCTGTGTCACCTGCATTGACAGGCGGATTCTTAACCACTGTGCCACCAGGGAAGCCCTATACCTGATTAACTTTAATAGCATGTAAAAACGATGCTCCTATACCTCTCCATCGCCTCCTTTTTATTATTGAGGTCACAAATTACACCTTTATACATTGTTTTCCCAGTAACAAAGGTTAATAATTATTTTTATGTCTTTTCTTTTAAGTCATGTAGAAAATTAAAATTGAATTTTAGTACAATAATACTAGCTTTTATAATTGCCCATGTATTTATCTTTACTGGAGATTTTTATTTCTTCATACAGTTTCAAGTTACTGTGCAGCATCCTTTCATTTCAACCTAAAGGACTCTCTTTTGCATTTCTTGCAGGGTAGTCTAATGGTAACAAACTCCCTAAGATTTTGCTTATTTGGATGTGTTTTCATTTCTCCCTCATTGTTGAAGGGCAATTTTGCCAGTTATGGAATTCCTGGTTGAAAATTTTTTTCTTTTAGCACTTTGAATAATTCAACCCATTGCCTTCTGGATTCCAAGTTTTCTGATGAGAAATCAGCTGATACTCTTAATGAGGATCCCTTTATGTGACAGGTCGCCTCTATCTTGCTGCTTTCAGAATTGTCTTTTTTTCTTCCTTGCGGTACGCGGGCCTCTCACTGTTGTGGCCTCTCCCGTTGCGGAGCACAGGTTCCGGATGCGCAGGCTCAGCAGCCATGGCTCACGGGCCTAGCCGCTCCGTGGTATGTGGGATCTTCCCGGACTGGAGCACGAACCTGCGTCCCCTGCATCGGCAGGCGGACTCTCAACCACTGCGCCACCAGGGAAGCCCCAAGATTGTCTTTTTGTCTTTGGCTTTCAGCAGTTTCATTATAATGTGTCTTGGTGTGGATCTTTTTGTGTTTATCCTATTAAAGTTTGGTAAGCTTCTTGGATTTGTAGATTTGTGTCTTTCATCAAATTTGGGAGGTTTTCAGCCATTATTTCTTCAAATGTAGTTCTTTCTGTGGCTTTCTCTCTCTCATCTCCCTCTGGGACTCTCACAATATGTATGTGGTTCCACTTTATGGTGTTCCACAGGTCCCTTAGGTTCTGCTCACTTTTTCTGAACCTTTTTTTCTTTCTGCTCCTCAGACTCAGTAATTTCAATTGTCCTACGTTCACGTTCATTGATTGTGTTTTCTGCCTGTTCACATCTGCTTTTGAACTCCTGTAGTGAATTTTTTCATTTTAGTAATTGTATTTTTCAGCTCCAGAATATCTTGTTGGTTTCTTTTTATATTTTTTACCTCTTTATTGATATTCTTATTTTGTTCATACATCATTTTGCTGTATTTTTCCATGTCTTTGTTAGCTTTTTGAGCATTTTATGACAGTTTACATCTTTGTCTAGTGTGTCGGCCGCCTGGGCTTCCTCAGGGATGTTTGTTTGTTTTCCTTTGACTGGGTTACTTTCCTGTTTCTTTATGCCTTGTGATTTTCTGTTGAAAATGGACATTTAAATCTTAGAAGTGGTAACTCTAGAAATCATATTTTCCCCCTTCTCAGGGTGTGTTGGGGGTTGTTATTGTTGTAGACTATGTCTGTGCTGGGGATCAGCTTGAGGTGAAAGCTTAAGGTCATCTCAGATCTTTTCTGAGCTCACATCCTTCTCTGGGTTTGTGCAATGACTTTCTAAATCCCCTCATATTGTGTGTGTATCAGTTGTTTTTGAAAGTCCTAATCCCTAAATGTCTGGCTCCCAATACGGGGGAAAGGGGAGAAAACCCAACTGTCCCTTTAAATCTCTGGGAAGCCACTTTAGCCAGTGGGGGTTGAAAAAATGATGACCTGCCTCTGTGTCTGTACATCTGTGATCAGAAGCCGTAATCTGCAATCAGAACACAGAGCCCTGATATTTGGAGGACAAGGTCCTTATTGCCCATCCCTCAATAATAACACCACCTGAGCACTTTATATACAGCATCTCAACAAATCCTCATAAGAGCGCTGTGCAGCCAGTACCATTGAAATCCCTATTTTGAAAATGAGGAAACTGAGGTTCACAGAGAGAAAGCTGTTAGACCAGACCTTCAATTCAGGAAGAGGCTTCATTGCAGTTCCATAAAATATGTGAGAAAGAAAAACAACCCTTGGTATCTGGGAGCCGACCTGACACAAATAACGGGGTATTGGTATTTCTAGGAGCCAGCCTAGAGTTCACAGCTAGGTCACTGAACATAAACAATTTCATAGAACGCCAACATCACACAAAGTCTCTCTGTGACTGTGATGAACCAAGACAAAAACAAGACCTCTCCATAATCACGTCTGAACACAGACAAACAGAAACACTGTCCAAGCCACAAAAGACTAAACATCTCCCTCTCCCATTCTTCTCACCTACCAGATAAGACAGAATTACTCTCACTTCCTGACAGCACCCCATTCAGAGAAAATCTCCACTTCCTTGAACTCATCCCCAAATCACATAAGACAAGCCCAAATTCTGTAAATCTGTTCTCACACTTTCTTACTGAAATGTTGTACCATTCTTATGGTGTGCACCTTCCCTCACTGCAGTTAGTCAACAAATCCAACTTTCTTGAACCACAAGTGTGTTCCTAGTCTTTGGCTGAAGTGCACTGGCACCTGCCAAATGTGTACCCACCTCAAGGCCTTTGCATGTGCTGTGTGCTTAGTCCAGACTTTGCTTCCTCTGGCTCATCTTATGTAGTCTGCTCAAATGTCACTTTTTTTAGACAGCCCTTCTCTCTCCACCCCATTTAAAATAGTCACTGTATTAGTTTGCTAGGGCTGCCATAATAAATGCAGCCATAACAAATGACTGGATGACTTAAACAACGGAAATTTGTTTCTTCACAGTTCTGGAGGCTGGAAGTCCAAGATCAAGGTGTTGGCAGGGTTAATGGCCTGCAAACAAAAGTAATGTAGATCCCTCCCAGGTCAAAGCATTTGACTATCCTTCCTTATTCCATAGCAGCTAATGATGCTGCAGGTGGTGCAGCCTCCACTGGCCATGGTATTTGAAGGGACTGTGTAGAGCAGAGCTCTCCACCAACCCACAGTAGACATGGAAGATGAGAAAAAAAAATGTGTTAAGACACTGAGATCCCAGAATTCTTTTGTTACACAGCATAACCTAACTTATCCCAATTAATACATCCCCCTCTAGAGTGGAAGCTCCAAGGGGCAGGGACTTAGCCTGGATCCTTAGTGCCTGTTGAAAGATGAGTAAACAATACTTATTTATGGGATAATTGGATATGCCAGGCACAAGGTGAAGTTGCTGGGCATGGATTATTCTAATAAAAGGTGGATCTAGAAATGAAACTGATCCCAGAACCTGGGACTGAAGCCACTTGGCCACATTCCCACTAACTAACCACTGTGTTAATCCAAACCTGGACCGTTCCAAGAATTTGACATCAGTAATCTCTTGAAAGCTTAATAACACCATAGTTTGTGATGGAAAGTTCTAATATCCCATTTTACAGATGGGGAAGTGAGGTTTAACAAGTCTCAGCAACTTGCCTAAAGGTCGTGTAGCTCACATAGTGCTTACCACAGTCCTGGTACAACTGATATTTCCTAACCATGGATGCTGTGACAAATATGGTTGGTTATACCAAATAAGCATTCTCTTCTACATCTCTCCTGCATACAAAGCCCTGATTTTTTTTGGAGTCTTCAATGACTTCTATGGTCAGAGAAGGTTATACTTCCCCAGTTCTGGAGAACAAATTCTGATTGGCTTAAGCCAATCATGGAAATTTTCTTTACTTTCAGAGATTGATTTTGATCTGAACATGGGACCTAATTCTGGCCAATGGAACTTTAGGAGAGATCTGATGGGAGGATTTGGGGAATGGTTTTAACTTTATGATATAAAAGAACACTGCTTGTAGTAGACATTAATTACTGTAGTAGGCAGTAATTATTACTGACTGCCATTTTCTAAATGTTTCCTGGACATATTAGAACTCCATTTCCTTTGTTGGGTTGGTGAATTGCTAGTGCCATGTAACCATTTCTGGCCAATGGTTTGTGAGCAAATGACATGTGTCATTTAAGGCCAGAGCATTTAATTACAGACATGAAATCCTATAGAGCTTTCCTCCTCCTTAGGCATAAAACTGGAAATGTTTGGGATGGCAGTTGCTCAGTCATCCTGTATCCCTGAGTGATTGTAATGCCAACCCACAAGGGACATGGAGTATGAATGGGAAGTAAACTTGTGTTATTGTAAGTCATTGAGATTTGGATGAAGTTTATTATAATAGCAAATAGCCTACCTTGAGTGATACAGAAATTAGTATCAGGAGTGGGGTGCTGCTGTAATAAAAAAAAACAACACATGGCATTGGCTTAGATACAGAGCAAAGGGAACAAGAAAATTATTTGAAGCCAGAAGGATGGAGATTATTGCCTGAAATACTTTGGGAGGCAGATAACATACTTAACGAACTTGCAGCTTTAGGGGAAGCAGTTGGAACACAGGACACTAGGAGTGAATATTGGCCAAAGATGGCCCCAAATCAGGAAGACCTTTGAGAGTCAAAGTCCAGTTAGAACTCAGATTTTGTCAAGGATAAAATCAAGGATTAGCACCAATCAAATCATTATTAACCATTGTTAAGATCTCTGAATAAATTAAGGTACTCCCAGGAAACACTTAAGATAGTCTGAGGTAGACAAAATGGCTTAGAATATGGCTTTCCATGGATGCCTGATAGAGTCTAAGGTACCTGCAATGAGAGAGAGGGAGAGCAAGAGGGAGAGAGAAATGAGGAACATCTTGAACAGAACTGTGGATGTGGGGGGTTTGTACATGGAGTTAACTGGAGACTTATAAGAATCCTTAGGTCCCACACTTTAGGAGACAGAAAGCAGGCTGAGAAAACTGCTCATGTGCCAAGGAGGGCACATCTTCCAATGTCACCTGAGATGTAGCCAAGGAAGATAATGGAAAAGGGGGTAAGTCCCTGGAGGGTGAAGACATAAGCTACAGCGAGCAAAGATTTGGGAAGCTCCCCACCCTTAAGGAGTTGATTTGGTACTAATTAAGGAACCCTCCCCATCTATAAGATAGGAAGTCCTTACAGTATCTTTTCACTAGATTTTAGAAATGATACAGACCAGTGATTTCTGCGTGTCTTCCCTTATTCCCCTTTCCAATTGGGCATTTTGACCCATTCCATCATTGTATATTGGGTATGTGGAGGGCAAATAATTTGACTTTTTAGTTCACTCGTTCTGACATAGGTTCACTCATTGTGTTTCCTGCCCATCTCTTGCGGACATTTGAGTCTTTGACTCTACAGCCTACACTAAGCTATTTGATGACATGAACTGAATTGGACTCCCGGAAGTGCAGTGGATCAAGGTCCATTCCACTGCCCAGGGCTGATGCCGAGTTCTGTGGGTGACTTCACGATGCCCCAATGGTTCCCAGCCTCCTTCTGTAGTCTGTAGGTGGCCATGTTGGCCACCTTGTGGCTGCTTAGCCTTTCTCTCCCCACTTCGTGGGCCCAGATATTAGTCAGCTGTGCCTACAAGAGTCTCTGCCAGCAGGCCCTACTCTCAGGCAATGATGTTGTCCTGCAGTGTGACCATCTCAAGGCACGCTGGTACTTCTCTTCCATTCTGGGGGAGGATGTCTTGTTGCTCTCCTCAGTGCCTAACATAAAGAAACTGCCTGGGGGCAGCCTCCAATTGACCAACCCTCAGCCCTCCCAGACAGGCCTCTATCACTGTGAGGACAATGACAGTGCCCTCGTGGTAGAGTATGAGATTGATTTCCAAGATGTCACTACCCTACATATTACGCACAAAGGCCTGGGCCAAAAGCCCCTGCAGAATGAGACCCTGAGTCTGGGTGGCAAGGAGCTCATCTTCACCCACTGGGATCCCTGGCAGGACTGTAACTGCTGTGGGGAGCCAGGTGAGCACAAACGCCTGGGGTACTGCTACATCGAGGAGCCCCTGGAAAAACCCATGCCCTGTTGGCTCTATCTGCAAGAAGAGAAGGTGCAGTACAGACGCATGTGGCCTGAGATGCAGGTGGAAGCCTGCCTTATACCCTGCGACCACATCAAGTAAATCAAACAGCCGTATTTCACCTTTGACATTTCCCAGTTGGGCAAGTTGACCAACAACATGTGGCTCACCTGCCCCTTGGCCTCCATCTACAGGTGACTGGACCAGGGCATCAGCCCTGCCTTTAACCCTCACCCAGGCTCTGTTTCCTGTGCCTACCTGGGCCAGGGGGTTACCTTCCAATAGAAAAGCAGGGTCTGTCTCCCAGCCCATAAGCTTTCAAGGTCAATCTGTGCAGAAAGGGGTCTCTTCATGGGCTTGTTCGGATGTTCATTCAGCGAGAATTCCTGGCTGCCCCTTCTGGGCCAGGCCCCGGGTAGGAGATGTTGGGGACACAGTGGTGACCAACAAAGACCTAGTCCCTGCCCTTCTAGACTCCTGATATTCAGGGTAGGCCAAATGTAAAACCTAGAGACCAAGACATTCCGGCCCATGCTCATGCCAACATAGACTTCAGTGTGATTTCTGTCTCCTCACTGGACTCTGACTGATACAATTTATCTATCCATCCTTGTACCAATGCTACAGTGTCTTAATTATTATACCTTTACAATAAGTCATGATATCGGTAGTATAGATTTTTCAACTTTGTTCTTCAAGATTGTCTTGGTTATTCTTGACCCTTTGTAAAAAAAGGAAAAAAAATTGAAATCAGCTTGTAGTTCCCATCCAAAAAAATACTGTTTTTTTTAAAAAAAAATTGGGGCATCATTGAATCTAAAGATAAATTTGGGTAGAATCAAAAGTACAATATTTAGTCTTCCAATCCATGAACATTGTAAACACTTTCATTATTTAGTCTTTCTTTAATTTCTCCCAGTAACGTGCAGTTATTAATGTAGAGGTTTTACATACATTTTATTATATTTGTTCCTAAGTATTTGATATTTTCATGCAAGTTGTGTCTTTTTTTTCCCAAATCTTGTTGTATATAAAAATATATTTGGTATTTATATATGACCTTGTAACTAATTATTTTGCTAAATTCACTTACCTCCAGTAAAATGCTGAATGGAGAAGTTGATGGCAGACATGCTTATGTTATTCTTAACATTTCACTATTAAATATACTTCTGCCTTAGGTTTTTAATAGAACCTTAATAGAAGATTAAGAAAATTCTTTTTAATTCCTATTTTGCCAAGAGTTTTGAGCCATGAATGAGTGTTGAATTTTATCAAAAGATTTTTCTGCATCTACTGAAATGATAATATGGTTTTTCTCCTTCATTCTGTTAGTGTGGTGAATTACATTGATGTTCAGATGTAAAGCCAACCTTGCCTTCCTGGGATAAACCCAATTTGGTCATGATGTTTATCCTTTTTATTTATCATTGGAGGCAACTTGCTAATATTTTGCTTAGGATATTGTGTTCACGTTCATGAAAAAACGGCCTGATATTTTCCTTTGTTGTAATGTCCTTATAAGTTTTTGGTATCAAGGTGATTCAGACCTCATCAAAGTTTGGAAGTGTTCCATCCTTTTTTATTTCTGGAAAGATTTTGAAAGATTTATGCCATTTCTTAATTGTTAAAAAATATCTGGAAGAATACACTGGTAAATCTCCCTGGGATTGGAGGGGGCTTGTGCATAAGTTTTAAATTACAGACTCAATGCCTGTAATAGTAAATATAGAATGGTTCAGTTTATCCTTGTGCCAGCATTGTTGAGGTATTCAATGAATTTACCCATTTAATCTAAATTTTCAGCAGTTTTGACCAAAAGTTTTTTGCAATATCCTCTTATTATCTTTTTATGCCAGTAATTTCTGTAGTAATGTCTCCTTTTTTTGTTACTGTTATTAGTTATTTAGGGCTTCTTTCTGGTTTTTTTCCCCTTTATCAGTCTTGCTAGGGCTTCATCAATCTCATTCATCTTTTTAAAGAACCAACTTTTGGCTTGTTGATTTTCTTTATTGCACTTTTGTTTTCTATCAGTAGATTTCTGGTATTTGAGATGCTTGCTTTGATCTCCAAGTTTTATCCTTTTTTCTCCAGAGTATGTATTTAGGCTGTAAATTTCCCCCTAAGCACAACTTACCTGCATCCTGCAAGTTTTTATAAGTTATACTTTCATCTTCGGTCAGTTAAAAATACTTTCTGGGCTTCCCTTGTGGCTCAGTGGTTGAGAGTCCGCCTAACGATGCAGGGGACACGGGTTCATGCCCCGGTCTGGGAAGATCCCACATGTCGCGGAGCGGCAGGGCCCGTGAGCCCTGGCTGCTGAGCCTGCGCATCCGGAGCCTGTGCTCCGCAACGGGAGAGGCCACATCAGTGACAGGCCCACGTACTGCAAAAAAAAATAAAAAAATAAAATAAAAAAAATTTCTGTTTTCAATTGTGATTTCTCTTTTGATCTATTAGTTATTTAGACATTTCATTGTATAGTTTTCAGATATCTGGGGACGTTCTTTGTTGTCTTTTTGTCACTTGTGTCTAGCTTAATTCCACTGACCAAAAAATGTGATTCTATTCCTTTAACGTTTATTGAGACTTGTTTTATGGCCTAGAATATGGTCAATTTTGGAAAATATTTCATATGAATGTGAAAAGAATGTATGTTCTGAAGTTAAGTGCAGAGTTCCATATATATGAATTAGGTCAAGTTTATATCATATGGTTCAAACCTTCTATATCTCTCCTAAATTTTTGTTTGCATGTTTAATTGTGGATTTGTCTATCTCAACATTTAGTACTCTCAGGTTTTGCTTTATATACTTTTAGGTTCATACAAACTTAGGATGTCACTGTATCTTCCAGTTGGATTGACATTTTATAAAATGTCTCTTGCAAGTCTCTATTAATACTTTGACCCTTATATCTACTTTTGTTATTGGTATAACTACTACACCACTTTTCTTTTAGCTAATGTTTGCATGATATTTTCCCATGTTTTTACTTTCAACTTTTCTATATTCTTTTGTTTAAGGTAAGTCTCTTTTAAGCAATATATATTTAGATTTTTGTTTTGCTATTAAGTCTGAAATTCTTTGTCTTTTAATTGGAGTATTTAGTTCATTTACTTTTAATGTAATTACTGATTTAGTTGGGTTTAAATCTACCATCTTCCTATTTGTTTTCTACTTGTTCTGCCTCTTCTTTAGTTATTTTGCCTTCTCTTGCTTTTGAATTCACCAAGTATTTTTTTAAATTGTCATTCCATTTTCTCCTCTATTAACTTATTAGATATGCATTCTTTTTTCATTTACTCTAGAGCTTACATTAATTCTCACTTACTACAATCTAATATAAATTTGTACTTGTACCATTTCCTAGACAATGCAGAGACCTTACGACCTTTTAGCTCCATTTACTCCCCTTCCATTTGTTGTACTCTTATTATCAGGTATTTTTATTTTACATTTATTTTAAACCCCACAAGCCATTATTTTAAAACACTCTGAATATTAATTTAGTTTTAACCACATATTTATTCTTCTGGTGCTTTTCATTCCTGTATTACCTTGCTTCCATTTGGGATCACTTTCCTGCTGCCTGGAGAATTCTCCTTAGTATTACCTTCAATGTGCTCTGCTGTGGTGAATTCTCTCAGCTTTCATCTGAAAGTATCTTTATTTTTTACCTCCATCTTTGAAGAATATTTTCATTGTGGTATATAGAATTCTATACGTAGAATTCCAGATGGCAGTCATTTTCTTTTAGTGTTTTGAAGATGTCATTCCATTGTCTTTCTAACTTTCATTATGTCTGTTTAAAAGTCAATGTAGAGTGTTATGATTGTTGCTTTGAAAGTAGTGTATCTTTTTCTCCTCTGGCCATTTTTTAAATTTCCTCTTTTGTTTTCTGCAGTGTTTTCCTATAAATTGCCTAGGTGTGGTATTTTTTTTGTCTTGTTTTGCTTTTGATATCTATTTATTTATCTATCCTGTGTGGAGTTTGAAGACCTTCTTGAATTTGTGCCTTGATGTCTTTCATCAGTTTTGGAATATTTTCATTCAGTATCCCTTCAAGTATTGCTTATGTTCCTATCTCTCCTTTTCTTCTGAATCTCCATTTACATAAATGTTAGACTTTTTCACCATGTCCCATGTCTCTTACACTCTTTTGTGTATTTTCCTATTGTTTTCCTTAGCATGCTTCAGTATAGATATTCTCTATGAACCCATATTTCATTTCCTCTCTTCTATTGTGTCCAAAAGATTTTTACCCCACCTAGTGAATCCTTAATTTCACAAATTTTATTTTTTTTATTCTAGTGTTTCCATTTGATTCTCCTATATAGATTCAAAATCCTCATCTTGTCATCTCTTAGACATACTAATCTAAGTGTAGACTTTATCTTAAAGTCTACACTTGTTATTAGCAAGAGGGCAGTCTGATATAAGCTACTCAAATGTAGCAGTGAGCAGAAATCTCACGCATATTATTTAAAGAACAGCAGGGAATTTGGAGTCTCATGTGAAATGTCTTGGATTTTACATGTTGGTCACAGATTTAAATATTCTAAAAACACCTTAGGGAGGCCAATTAAAACATTTCCTCAGGCTGGCTCCAGCTAGTGTGACTTCTCACCTAGATAAAGTGAAAGTTGGAAGTGAGCTTTCTCACAGTGTCCCCATAGCCCTGTTTACTTGTTTAGAAAAGATTTCCTGGGCTGAGGAGAGAGACAGAGAGGGAGAGAGATGGGGGGAAGCAATAGGGGTATAAATGTTAATATGTCTCAGACAGAGGGTCTTTATAAAGTTCTGGGAAGCAGAAAAAAACTCTAGGTGGTTTTGTAGACCTGAGAGCAGAAGGGATGTGTGACCCACTCTCGGGGTGAGGGTGGCAGCAAGATAACATAAGCGTACAGCTTATGCCAAACATAGCCTGTAAAATCCCCACATGGGGTAGGGGCATGACCAAGAGAGCCCCCAGCCATTAGAAGCGAAGTAGAGGAAGGCAGGATATCTTAGCAAAGACCTAGATGAACCTCTGACCTCACCCACTCGGCACTCTCCCCCTCGTCCTTTCCTCCTTAGTCACTCTGGCCTCCATACTCCTTGCATATACTAATCAGGCAGCCATGTCAGGGTCCAGCCCTCTCCTGAAAATATCCTTCCTTCAAATACCCACATGGCTCTTTATCTCACCTGACTCAGGTGTTTGTGAAACTTCCCCTCCTCAGAGAGTGCTCAGACAGGCCCGCTCATCCCCTCTCAAATAGTCCATCCCCACATACCAACATTTTACTTTCCATCCTCATTTCCCTGCTCTATTTTTCTCTTTAACAGTTATTACAGTTGATCCTCATTATTCAAGGATTCCACACTTGTGAATTCACCTACACACTAAAATTTACTTGTAACCCCCAAGCCAATACCCTCAGTGCTCTCATAGTCATTTGCAGACATGCACAGTGTGGTGAGAAAATTGAGCCACCTAACAATGAGCATTCCCAGCTGAGGCCAAACAAGATGACCCTCCGCCTTCTTGTTTTAGCTCCCATACGGTGTTAGCAAGTATCCTTTTCATGGTCTATTTAGTGCCATGTTTTTTGCATTTGTGTGCTATTGGTGATTTTGCTGTTTAAAATGGCTCCCAAGCATGGTGCTAAAATGTTCCTAAGTGCCTTATGAAGTAAATGCATGTGTTAGATTAGCTTTGTTCAGGCATGAGTTACAGAGCTGTTGGCTACAACTTCAATGTTAATGAATCAACAGCATATATTGTGTCTTTAAACAAAAACATACATAAAACAAGGTTATGTGTTGATCAGCTGACAAAAATACTGTGACCAAAGGCTTATAGGACCCTAACTTTGTATTTCTCCTAGGACCACTGTTTCATTATCTTGTAATTCAGCGACTTTATAGAACATACTTCCGTGAATAATGAGAATCTACTGTATCTGACATTATGTTTATTATCTGTCTCTTCCACTAGAAGGTAAGCTCAAGGAGGGCAGTTGTCTAAACTGTTCACTGCTTTGATTAGAATACCAACCAGCACATAGTAGGCATTCAGTAAACATTTGTGAAATGAGTGAACAATGGCAGGTCAAGCCTGCACAATAATTATTTTTTAATATTTATTTATTTATTTGGTTGCACTGGGTCTTAGTTGAAGCAGTGGGGCTCCTTAGTTGCGGTTCGCCAGCTCCTTAGTTGCGGCCTGTGGGCTCCTTAGTTGCAGCATGCGGGCTCCTTAGTTGTGGCATGCATGTGGGATCTACTTCCCTGACCAGGGATCGAACCCGGGCCCCCTGCATTGGGAGCATGGAGTCTTATCCACTGTGCCACCAGGGAAGTCCCATAATTATTTTTAATTTGAGAACTGAGAAAAAGTTTAGGAAAGGGTTTGGGAAATGGGCAACTGAGAAAAATATTTGTTTGTTTAAAATGAATCGAGTCATGCAGATATCTGTGGGAGGACCAGCATGTGCAAAGGTCCCGAGGCAGGAGCTCTTTACTTGCCTGATATGTTCAGGGGACTGCAGGGAGGCCAGTATGGCTGGAGCAGTTGGGTGGGGAAGGATAGGATGTCAGAAGGGAACCAGAGAGGATTTATTGACCTCTCCATCCCCAGTACTAAGAAGTGTGCTCAGAACATAGTAGGTGTTCAGAAAAAATGTGTTGAATGTTCACGTGACACTTTAACACCAAAGTTGGGGGATGGTAGAGAAAACCTTGAATAGACAAATTAAGTGTCCTGCTGACCAAGCAGAGTGGAAGGCTTATCACAGAAATGAAATAAGATTGTTAACTTGTCACAGAACAAATGTGGGAACTGTGACCTCACATCCCATGGGGGTGGACTACAGTTCATCCTGCTGCCCAGGGCTGAGACTTGAGTTTCATGGATGACCTCACAAAGTCCAGGGTGGTGCCCAGCCCGCTCCACAGCCCCAGTCCACCATGTTGACCACCCTGTGGCTGCTGCTCAGCTTTGCTGTCTCGGTGCTGAGGTCACACTTTTCCATCAGCTGTCCTAATTGGCATTGCCAACTGGCCCTACTCTCAAACAATGATATCTTCCTGCACTGCAGTGCCTCTGGGGCACAGTGGCAATTCTTCTTCCTGTCAGTCAAGACCACCTGGACCAACAACCCCTTCACTAACTCCAACGTGGAAACAATGCCCGATGGCAGCCTTCTCATTAGAAATCCATTGCCCTTGCAGACAGGCTTCTACAACTGCCAGGACAAGGATGGCAAGAAAGTGGTACAGTACGAAATTGACTTCCAGGATATTGAAACCATACATATCACACACAAAGGCCTGGGCCGAGAGCCCCTGCAGAATGAGACCCTGAGTCTGGGTGGCAAGGAGCTCATCTTCACCCACTGGGAGCCCTGGCAGGACTGTAACCGCTGTGGGGAGCCAGGTGAGCGCAAACGCCTGGGGTACTGCTACATCGAGGAGCCCCTGGAAACGCCCATGCCCTGCTGGCTCTATCTGGGAGATGTGAATCTGTGGTCCAGTCGCACGCGGCCTGAGATGCAGGTGGAAGCCTGCCACGTCCAGTGCACGTCCTCAAACGTGGACTACGTCACTTTTGACAACTTCAAGCTCAGTGAGAAGTTGGGATCTGCGTGGCTCACCTGCCCCTTAGGATCCATCTACAGGTGATGGAAGTGAGTTCCAGCCCTGCCCTTGGCCCCTTGCCAGACTCTCCCCATCTGGGAGCCTTTGTGGGTTAATCTGTGCAGAGAGGGAGGGGTTCTACGTGGGTCAGCCCCACAGCCTCTCTCCACTGGCTTCTTTAGATATTCCTTTGGCAAGAATCTCCTGGTGCCCACTGAGTCACACACAGGTAGAACAAGGACAGCTAACACAGAGGGAGCGCTCAGCTGACTCCGTGTCCAGCCCTGTGCTGGGTGGTGCTATGGACACGGCAGTCATCAGGCAGCTGCAGGCCTGGCCCTTAGGAAGCCCCCAGCCCAGGGGGGAAACGGCCCAGGGTGGTCAGGGCTGGGATGGGAGAAGCCCAGGCAAATGATGGGGCTGTGCTGGGGGTAGCCCGGGAAGCTGTGAGACTCTGAGGCCTCAGACTCATCTGGGAAGGTCAGCAAGCCCGGGAGGAGAGGACGGTGCCCCAGGGATGCCCATCAAGACCTGTGCCCCGGCGCTCCCATTCATGTTCTTGTCTTCCTGCCTGGAGCCCCTGGGAAATCTCCCCGCCCTCTCATTTTCCCCAGCCCACCTGCCCCTACCCCAGTAATAAGAACTACAACCACTCACAATGCTGCACTTTCCCCATGGGCTGGTTCCTGGGCAAATCTCTTAATAAACTCCAAGGAGGCCCATTGATAGATGGGGAAACTGCAGCTCGGAAGGGTGCAGTCCTTGCCTGGGGGAATCCGTGGTGGGAGGTGGCAGCGCAGACCCCACAGCTCACATACTTGGCCACGGGGACCCTCTTGCCCTCCTTCCCCGCTTGCCAGTGGCAGCCTCTTCCTTGCAAGCGGGGAGCCGGAGCAACCTCTTGGGGCCTCTGCAGCCACAGGTTCTGTGGAATCTGGCCTCACCGCCTCCATCTGGTTTTCTTTCCCTTGCTCATCCCAGCTGTCACTTCTATTCTTCTCTTTTTCTCTCTATATCTTTTCGTCTCCCTTTCTCCTTTCTTCCTCCTCCTCAAAGTATAAAAGCAACACCTGCTTCCTTAAAAAAGCCCGCAATTCAGAAATGCGGGAATGTGCACGTGACCCCTCCTCCCAACTGGACCGGGACACCTACTCTGTGTCTTTGCCAGATAAGGAGAACCCAAGTGCCCATCACAGGGAACTTAAGAAGAGAGGCCAGTGAGGCTTCAAGAATTGCCAGGTCTCTAGGGAGCCGAGGGGAGTAGAATTTCATGTGAGGTTTCTCTCTGGATTCAGCCAGGCCTGGGTTCCAGTCCTAGCCCTGGTACTTTCCTGCTGTGTGACTTTGAGCCTGTGGCTTCTCTCTGGGCCTCAGCTTCCCCATCTGTAGAAGAAGGGTTGTATTAGTTTCCTACGGCCGCCGTAACGAAGTACCACAAACCACGTGGCTTAAACCAACAGAAATTTCTTCTCTTACGGCTCTGCAGCCTAGAAGTCTGATCAAAGTGTCCGCAGGGCCCTGTACCCTCTGAGATGCTAAGTAGGATCCTTCCTTGCCTCTTCCTAGTTTCTGGTGGTGGCCGGCAATACTTGGTCTGCTTTGACTTGTAACTGCATCACTCCAGCCTCTGCCTCTGTCACCACCTGGCGTTCTCCCCATGTGTCTATGTCTCTGTGTCTCTTCTCCTTTTCTTATATGGATACAGATCATATTGGATTTAGGGCCCACCTGACTCCAGTGTGGCCTCATCTGAACTAATTACATCTGCAACAACCCTATTTCCAAATAAGGTCACCTTCTGAGGTTCTGGTTAGGACATGAATTTGGGGAGTACAGAGGTCTTCCTGGCCCTGGCCTCTTGGGGTCATTGTGATCTCTAAGGGGGCAAATGCCTGTAAAGACACTTACGACAGTGTCTGACACGGGGTTCCACACTCTAATAGGTGTTACTATTGCTTTTATGGTCACTGGCCTTGTCAGTATTGTCTGTTGACAGTCCCCTCTTTTTCCCAGCCACAATGGGTGTGTTATATACCTGATTCACGTATTCACTTATCACATTTTTCCCTGAGCATTTACAAGCCAAGCACTGTTCTAGGTACTGGAGATGCAATGAAGAACAAAACTGAAAAAGATACCTGCTCGCAGAAACTAACACACCATTGTAAAACAATTATACTCCAATAAGGACGTTAAAAAAAAAAAAAAAGATACCTGCTCTCATGGAGCGATAAACCAATAACACAGTTATTATATTATATTATATTTTTGGTAGAAAAAAATACTTTATTGTAATAATCATTTATCACCATCATATAAGTATCTGTACTAAAAATATGTCAAGTATAAACTTCTTTATAATTTGCCACAAGAAAATTATAAACCAATTTCACTTATGAACATTGTTGGAAAAACTCAATAAAATTTAGCAAATGAAATACAGCTCAAAAGAATGGCTGCTGGTGGTCTGGAGGGGTTGACAGCATCCTCAACTGACAACCAGCAAGGAAACGGAGACCTGTATCCTACAACCCTACAACCGCAAGGAACTAAATTCTGCCGGCAACCTGAACAAAGTTGGAAGGAAACACACAGTATTTTAGATGGTGATAAAGGAGGGGGAATGGGAGTGAGGGAGGTGAAAGTTTTAAATAAGGAGGTCAGGGAAAGTGTCTCTGAGAAGGTGCCATCAGCCAAGACTGAGAGAAGGTGAGAGAGCCCTGTGCGCCGAGGGAGTGCGTTTCAGGCGGAGGGAACGGCCAGGGCAAAGGCCCTGAGGCAGGACTGTGTCCAGCATGTCAGAGGAACCTCTAGGAGGTGTGGCTGGGGCAGAGTGAATGAGGGAGAGCAGAGGAAATGGGGCCAGTCAGGTAAAGGGGGACACGCATCAACTAGGGAGTGTCCTTGCTAATTCCTCCAAATAACCCTCTGAGGTTGTGGCAGTCATGACACCCCCAGGTTTCTTTGAGACTTCAAATGGAGGCTCAAAGAGCTATAGAGGCATTTGGCCAAGTGGCCGGGGCAGTAAGGGGCAGGGCTGTGAGAGCTCCCAGCCTTCCAGCCCCCATCCTCCCCTTACTCACTGCTGGGTCTCTCTCCTTGGAGGGGGTGCTCTGTTTGCTGTTCCCAGGGAGAAGGGAGAAGGGTGCTGCCGTCTCCACCTCTTTTCAGACATTGGTCCCCCCTTCCTGTCTGGGGCGCTGCAGCTGACCTTGTCCTCCTTTGCAGGCCCATCATCTGGGAAGCCGACAACCTCCCCCTGACCTGGAAGGACCAGCTCTCGGGCCAGGCTGTCAGCACCGTCCTGGACACCTCCAACGGCTGCAGGTCTTCCAGCCAGCCACTTACAAATGCTTCGTGCAGCAGGAGCTCTCGGCTCAATTCAACCCCAAGTCCCATCTGGATATACCGGCGTCTCTGAGCACAGAAGACTCTGGACAACAGCCGGAGGTAGAGGAGGCCCAGAAGGGAAAGGCTGACCCCATCCTCAAGGGGCTGAGGCTGCTGCTGCTAGCGGGCACAGTCCTGGGCCTGCTTGGGGCGCTGCTCAAACTCTTCCACCCTTCCCGGGGCAGGAGGAGAAACCAGGTGTTGCTGGTGAAATAAAGCGAGCCCTCGGGGCCCAGGAGACCTGGCCCCCTGCGCCTTCATCGCCTCACCTGTCCTCCCGTAGCTCCCGCCCTGGGCCCACCCACACCTCCCACTCTGAACGTGTGTGGACCAAAACAGACCCGGGGCCACAGCCAAGGGTGGCTGACCTCTCCCTGGTCTGGGTCCTGCTCGGTTAGCTCATTCGCAATCCCCGTGCCACAGACGAGGAAACTGAGGCTAGACTACCTGTCTAGTCGTTGGATGGGGGGCGGGGAGCCAGTTCAAACCCAGGTTGCCTGGCTCAAGCCTCGTGCTCTTCACTGGGAGGAAGGGAGGGGTGCGATGAGGCCATTTTGGGGACGAGTCTCTGGGTGTGTAGATTGTAGCCACTTCACTCACTGCTCTCCCAAGGCCGAGGGCGGGGACGGGGGATGGGAGCGGGTCACACTCAGACGCCCCAGATCTTCACTGGGCTGCTGCCTTTCCTTGCCTGTCCGTTGCTCCCACCTTGCCTCAGTGGTGCCTAGGGCCTCCAGGCCTCGCCATAGCTCCCCAGGTTAGAGGTGCCACCAGAGTGGTGGCCCAGGCAGCAGACACGCATCACCCTTCCTGGCTCTTGCAGCGGAGAGAGCTCCCTCGGACACCCCAGAAAGGGAGACAGGCCCCTCCACTGGGACAAGGCATCAGGCCTGGCCCAGCTGACCTGTGGGTATCACCAGTCCCAGCTGTTCCCAAAAATGTTATACACTGTTTAGCAGGGTGCAAGTGTCAGACGTAAAATACTAATGCCTTGTAAAATTCATGGCCCTGCTATTCCATTGCGAAGCAACAACAAGGCAGATCTGAAACTTCCAGAACTTCTGCCCCCGAGGAGAGGGAAACGCTCACCCCTCACATCCCAGACACCAGTGCCAAAACACCTAAGGCTTCATGTGGTGCCCAGAGATGCAAAGATTCCTGCAGAAAGGGGAAATGTTCATGGAGAACTAAAGGGGGTCCATTGGGAAGCAGAAGCAGAGAATAATGACAATAATAGCAAACATTTGGGGATCTCCTAACATGGTCAGACGTTTGCAAACGTTATGTCCTCACAGCCACCCATGAGGCTGGGGTTACTATGAACTTCTTTTTGTACCTGAGAACACTAAGGCACAGAGGGCTCAGGCAAGCTGCCTGAGGTCACATAGCGAAGTTGGGAAGGGGCCAGCAATGGAAGAGTGAAAGGAGACCTCTGGGAGGCCCCCAGCCCTGCTCCCAGGAAACCCCCAGGGCCCTGTAACCACAGCAGCCCATTGGGTAGCAGCAGGAAGTGGATCCAATGCCCAGGCCTGTCTGCACAGCACTGAAGGCCGCCCAACCCACACCAAGGCTGTCAGTGCCCTACTGTGCAGGGCAGACCCTAAGGTGACCCCAGTGATTCCCAGCTCCTGGTGTCCATGCCTCTGTGTGACTACCCACGCCTTCAGTGTAGATGGCACCTGTGACTTGCTTCTAACCACTGGAATATTATGAAGGTGTTGGGTGTTGCTCCTTCTGTTAGGTTACATTACCTAAGACTCTGTCTCAGCCAGCTAGAGCAGGAGAGGCTTGCTGGCCTGATGAAGTAGGCAGCTGTGTCGAGGAAACCCGCTTGGCAGGGAGCTGTGGGCAGCCTCCGGGAGATGCAAGTGTTCACCCTTTGAGGGTGACAGCCTCTATCACACAGTCGCAAGGGAATGAATTCTGCCGACAACTCGAATGAGTTTGGAAGCAGATTCTTCTCCAGTTGAGCCTCCGGATGAGAACATGGCCTGACCAACACCTGGACTGCAGCCTTGTAAACCCTGGGTAGAGGACTCAGCCAAGCCACGTCCGGACTCCTGACCCACAGAAACTAGGGGATCGTAAATGTGTGCTCTTTAAGCTACTAAATGTATGGCAATTTTTTATGCAGTGATAGGCAACTGGTAACACCCAGCCATACGCCCCAGTCCACCATGAAGTCCCTCACACGGATGGCTTCTGGAGGCACCAGTGACTTCCTAACTCCCCTGAGAAGCCTGCTGAGCCAGGTGTGGGGCAGGCTGATAGCCAGGCCGTCAGGACTCCCAGGAGAAATCCATATTCATCAAGGGTGGGAGTGGGAGGGTAGACATCCAGCTTCCCCAGCCCTTGACGGTACAACTCAGAGGCACATATCCACACCCTCTCTAGGAGGGTCCCCAGTGATCCCAGTGTGCACAGCTACAACCAGCTCATTAGGGCACCTTTTATCAGCTTAACCCCTGCCCCGCCTCACTGTCTCTTACCTCTGCTTCCCGAGAAAATATTCTTCAAATATTTTTTCAGCCCCACATTCCCTCCCCTCTCCTGGGACTCCAAAGACATGAATTTAGAGCTGCTGTTGTCTCACAGGTCCCTGAGACTTGGTTAATTTTCCTCCAATGTTTTCTGCTGTTCAGGCTGGAGAATATTTACTGATCTGTCTTCAAGTTCACAGACTTCTTCCTCTGTCATAGCCATTCTGCTGTTCAGTCCATCCAGCAAGCCTTTTACTTTGGTTATTGTATATTTTAGTCCTAACATTTCCATCTGGTTGTTCTTTATAGGATCTTCTATTTCCTCATTGATATGTTCTGTTTTCATATTTGCTTTGTAGGGAATCCTTAACTGAGACACCAACGTTGCTAACTCAGTGGCCCCCATGAGCCACGCAGGAAACATAAGTCAGGGAAAAGGCCTTGGGAGGCTGCTGCGATGTAGGGGTTCTTACCCCAGATTGACGGGCCTGGTACTTCTGAAAGTTCCATGTGATTCTAGAGATTGAGATGTTTGAGTGAAACTATCCAATTTATGAATGTTGGCTCAAAAATGTTTTCAAACACAGTGCCAGCCAAATGAGACATACCTGCAGGCTGAATTCAGCCCATGGCTGTTAGTTTGTGAGGTCTTGCTTCAACCTTGATTGGGATCAAGTGTATATTTCCATTTTTGATTATTCATTCAACAAATATTTGCTAGCTGGAGTGGCCAAGGACAGCTTCTCTGAAGAGATGACATTTCAGATGAGCCCGAATAACAAAAAACTGGGCAAGTAGGGATCTGGAGGAAGGGTGTATTAGTGTCCTATAGCTGCTGTAATGAATTACCACAGACTTAATGGCTTAAAACAACACACATTTATAATCTTACAGTTCTGAAGGTCAGAAGTCCAAAATGGGTCTTATTTGGCTAAAATCAAGGTGTCAGCAACTGGATTCCTCCAGAGGCTTGAAGCGGAGAATCCTTTTGCTTAAAGCCAGCAACACTGTCTTTTCAGATGTCTCTCTCTCTCTCTCTCTCTCTCTGACTCTCCTGCTTCCCTCTTGGAAGGACCCTTGTGATTATATTGGGCCCACCCAAAAATCCAAATTAATCTCCCCATCTCGAGATCCTTACCTTAGTCACACCTGCAAAGTCCCTCCCACCATGTCAGGCAACACATTCACAGGTTCTGGGGATCAGGAGTGACCCTCTTTGGGGGGCCACTATTTAGCCTACCATAAGCAATTCCAGGCAGAGGTAGCATTTATAAGGGCTCTAGGTGGGTGTCTGCAGTGGATGGAGGACTACCAAGGAGGTAGCCAGGGGCCAGGTTGTGTAGGGCCCTGTGAGCCAAGGTGAGGGCTTTGGACTTTATTTGAAGTGAGACGGGAGCCATGGGAGGCTTTTGAGCAGTGGAGGGACATGATCTGACATTCATGAAAAAGGTAATTCTGACAAGGTAGAGCTCCTTGCAGGTAGGGTTGGGGGCAGCCCACAGGTTGGAGCAGGGAGTAGCAGCCACTCTCCATGTAGCCAACTGGACAATGAGAAGCTTTCATCACCTAGCAGGAGAAATGCCACCTCTTCCCCACACCTCCAAGTGCAGTGTAAGACACAACATGCCCCATATTCCATCTGTAGCCATCTTCTTCTACCTTTTCCTTTCCATATTATAATTTTGAAAAGACAATTTTTAGAGCAGTTTTAGGTTCACAGCAAAACTGAGGGGAAAGTACAGAGATTTCCCATATACCCCTGCCCCACACATGCATGGCCTCCCCCATTATCAGCATCTTCCACCAGAGGGGTCCATCTGTTACAAATGATGAACCTACGTTGACACATCATAATCACCCAAAATCCATAGTTTACACAATGGTTCAATGTTCTGGATTTTGGCCATTTTAATAGGCGTGTCATGGTAGCTCTGTTTTTCACGGGAGGAAACCAAGGGCCAGAGAGGTGAATTCACTTGCCCACGGATACAAAGTTCGTGTATCAGTTACAGCTGCAAAACAAAACATACCCCAAATCAGAGACTGAAAATAGTAAGCATTCATTATTGCTTACAAGTCTACAAACTAACTGAGTAGTACTTGTCTCAGATGGGATCGATCGTTCGTGCTTCTCTGATCATCAGTGGGCTGGGGTTGGCTCTGCTGATCTTGGCTGAGCTTTCTCACATGTTTGGGGGGTGGCTGTCTGTAGGCTGGACCAGGTGCCATTAGCTGGGGAAACTGGGCTGTCCTCCACGTGGTCTCTCATTCTCCAGCCGGCCAACCCAGGCTTGTCTACAAGGTGGTGGCAGGGGTCCAAGAAAGTGAATAGAAGCCACAGGGCCTCTTGAGGTCCAGGCTCAGAACAAGCACATGACCAGGGACTGGGACAGGGTGGCCTTGGCTTGCCATGTGACCTGAAGGTCAGGTTTGGGGGAGGCCCCTGGGCAAGATATCAGTTATCTACTGCTACATAAGAAACCACCCAAAACTCAGTAGGTTAATACAGCAATTATTTATTTCTCTCTTCAGTCTGTAGGTTGGTAGTATAGGCTGGGCTCAGCTGGGTAGTTCTTCGGGTCTTGGCTGGACTCATTCGTGCATCTGTGGTCAGCTCTGGGTGGGTAGATGGCTCTGCTTCAGGGGGGATAAATGGCATTTGGTTGGGGAACCTCCAGTCTCTTATCTTCCAGCAGGTTAGCCCGGACATGTTCATAAGGTCATGGCAAGAGTCCAAGAGAGCAAGCAGGAGCTGGAAGG